TGACCCTCCGACAGCGCGGCGCTCCCTCAGCACTGACCCTCCGACAGTGCTGTGTTCTACTACCTCGACAAGCACTAGCTCAACCTCCCTCAGAAAGCTGTGGAATCGGCTGGTGCTCCTTTGATTCTAATCCAGTGATCCCAAAGGACAGTGTAGATGCACAAAAGTACACTGACAAGATGGAGTGGGCTAATCGGTGCAAGAGAATGTTCAGTGCGAGGTGATGCCTGTTCATTGGATGAAAATCGAGACACAATATAAAGTGAAGCACACAATTCCGAAGGTGTTCAGGAGCTGAGGAAGCTGGGTATTTGTACAAGTCATCAAAAGGTGCCAGGATAGGCTGAGAGAGCAGGCAGTAAATCAAACATGTTAAGTTTTGTTCGTAGCAGCATGGAGTACAAAAGCAGGAAAGTTATGCTGTACGAGTAAAACAGGCTAGTTTGGTTTCAGCTCACCCTGTTATAAGAAGGATAATATTAAGCTGGACAGGACTCAGAAGAGATCTACCAGGATGTTGCCAGCAATGGAAGACTTGAGTTACAAAGAACAGCTGGGACTTTTTTTCCACTGGAGCATTGGAGGTTGAGAGGTAACCTTATACAGATTTATAAAACCATGTGGAGTATAGACAGAGTGAATTGTAGGTGTCTTTTCCCTACGATGGAGGATTTCAAGACTAGGGGACATATTTTTAAAGTGAGAGGAGTGAGATTTTAAAAAAGACATGAAGGGCAAATTTTTTACACAGAGGGTGGTTTGCATGTGAAACAAACTTCCTGAAGAAGTGGTGGATGTGGGTACAGTTACAATGTTTAAAGGACACTCAAATAAGGACATGAATAGGAAATGTTTGGAGGGATATGGACCAGGAGCAGGTAGGTGGGACTAATTTAGGTTGGGATTACATTCAGCACAGACTGTTTGGACCGAAGGGTCTGTTCCAATGCTGTATGACTCGATCTAGTCTTGGGTGCCACACTTTAGAAAGGATGTGAACACATCGGATCGAGTGCATAAGAGGTTAATGACTGTACATACGTATGGATGGATCTAGGGTTGAGGAACTTCGGGTATGGAGATAGCTTGGAGAAGTCGAGACTGTTTACCTTGGAATAAAGGCTGAGAGGATGTCTGATCAAAGTTCTGTATTCGAGATCAGGAGAGATCAAAGAGGGCGAAAATATTCACATTCACGCGAGGATCGGTAAGTTGGCTCAGAATTAAAGTAAGTAGTAACAGAAGCGATATCAGGGCTCCCTCTTCTGACACCTGACTGCATGGTACATTCAGTTACCTGTAATCTTGCCATGTACTTCTCCGATTTCATTTTCAATGCTTCGCATTTGCTTTTTCTGTCCTGAAGTGACTTCAGTGTATTTTCTATTTCCTCCTAAAATCGAAGAAAGAGAGTGGTTTAATCACTGGTCACATTCCATGCGATGACTTCAAATAATTCCGAAAAAACATCTGACCCCAGGAGCAGGAGTAAGCCATTCAGCCCCACTTCTTCCCTGCTGTTATTAGACTTCTGAACGGACCTCTCAAATTTCAAATCTAATGCTGGTCTTGCTTATTGTGCACCTTCTTTGCAGCCATAACTCCATATTCCTCACTCTGTTCTACCACCCTGTGATCTTTGTGTCTTTATAGGTTAAGATCTGCCTGTACTGTACGCAAAATAAAACTTTTCACTGTATTTGGGTACAAGAAACAATAGCAAATCAAATCAATTATTAGTCTGTTAAACCTTCTCTGAACTACCTTCAATGCATATAATACTTCCCTAAATAAGGTGAGCAATACCGTACACAGTACTGTAGATGGGATCTCATAACTTCACTACTTTTGTACACAGTCCCCTCCTGATAATTGATAACATTCCATGAGCTTTCCTAATTACTTGCTGTCGCTGCATACTAAGCTTCTGCAGTTCATCCACCAGGTTTCCTTCTGTATCTAGAGGTCTGCAATATCCCAACATTTTGGCATTATAGTCCTTTTTTATTCTTTCTGTTAAATGGACAGCTTTACATTTTCTCGCATTGTATTTCATTTGCCACATTCATTCATTTAACTGATCAGTATCTGTTTGTAACCTTTTGATGTCTTTTTCATAATTTTCTTTCCTTTTGTGTCATCAGCAGTTATGGTAGCCATACCTTCTGACCCTTCATCCAATGATTGAGGTCCCAGTATTGATCCCTGTGGCACACCACTCATTTCATCTTGCCAACCTGAAAAAGGTCCATTTGCAGCCACTCTCTGTTTCCTGCCAGCCAGCTAATCTTCTATCCATGCCAATATGCTACCCCCTACTAAGGTGGCACCTTACTTCAAATGCCTTTTCAAAATCAAAGTACGGTATATTCACTGGGTCTCCCTTATCCACAGCAAGTGTTTCTTCCACAAAGAACTCCAGTAGATTGGTCAATCCTGATTTCTCTTTGATAAAGCCATGTTCAATTTGCCTAACTAACTTGACCTTACCAAACTGTCCCACTGTGACTTCTTTAATAATAGCTTCTAACACTTTCCATCTGATAGATGTTAAGCAAACTGGCCTGTAGTCTTCTGCTTTCTGCCTTCCTCCCTTTATGAAAAATTGAATTACATGCCAGAGGAAGTGGTGGAGGCGGGTACAATTACAACTTTTAAAAGGCATCAGGATGGGTACATAAATAGGAAGGGTTTAGAGGGGTATAGGCCAAATGCTAGCAAATGAAATTGGATTAATTTAGGATGTCTGGTCAGCATGGACAAGTTGGACTGGAGGGTCTGTTTCCGTGCTGAACAACTCTATGACTCTATTCACTATCTTCCAGTCTAACTGGACAATTCCTGAATCACGAGAGTTTTAGAAAATTGAAAATGGAAATGGAAACCAATGTATCAGTTATCTCACTAGCCACCTTTTTTGCTCACAAAGGGGCAGCACGGTGGCTCAGTGGTTAGCACTGCTGCCTCACAGCGCCAGGGATCCGGGTTCAATTCCACCCTCAGGCGACCGTCTGTGTGGCGTTTGCACGTTCTCCCCGTGTCTGTGTGGGTTTCCTCCCACAGTCCAAAGACATGCAGGTTGGGTGGATTGGCCATGGGGAATGCAGGGTTACAGATATAGGATAGGGGGCTGGGTCTGAGTGGGATGCTCTTTGGAGAATCAGTGTGGACCTGATGGGCCCAATGACCTGCTTCCACATTGTAGGGATTTGATCCTATTCTGTTCTAAAGGTGAGGCACCCTGTTCAAAAAAATTGCTATTGCATTTATTCAACAGTAAATACATTCACAACATCATGATCATCCCAGTGATAGATGTCAGCTGCAAAATCAAGTTTATTAAATAAAGACATTCAAACCATTAGGATTCTGTTTATTGTACAGTCTTTCCTTGACAACTAGGCTCAGAATTTCAAGTATTGTTTGTCACCCATGTTATGCAATGCACAGAATAATAAATCCACAGAGGCTGCCAACATTCATTTCAAACGTGACACTCTGCTGGCCTTCTAAACAAATTGTGTTTATCTAGTGTCTTTAACATTATTTAAAAACCTCCCAAAGCACTTTACAGCAGCACTGTGATACTGGGCCACATGAGGAGATATTTCCAGAGTTTGTTAGAAATGGTGGGGGAGTCTTAAGGAAGAAAGAAACCTGGTTACATCAGACGGGAGAGTTCCACTGATTGACAACAGTCAGAGGCTGTTGAACAAGGAAAGGAGTGGAAGAAGTTAAAGAAAAAGCTGTTAAAAAAATGTGGGGACAAGCAGCATGAGTGAAAGCTTTGCCACAAGCAGTAGAGCAGAGAGAAATACACACGTACATACACACACACATACTTACACACACACAGCGAATTGCAGAGAGAGACACAGACACAAACACGTAGAGATAGAGAGATACAGACACAGCGATAGACAGAAGGAGACCGAAACGTCAGCCTCTCTGCTCCTATGATGCTGCTTGGCCTGCTGTGTTCATCCAGCCCTGCACCTTGTTGTCTCGGATTCTCCAGCATCTGCAGTTCCTACTATCTCTGATAGACAGAAGGAGACAGGCCCAATGGAGAGACAGAGGCAGAGGTGGAGAGACTGACAGATACACAGAGAAATACAGACAGACAGAAATACAAGGAGAGACAGACACAGACAGACAGAGACAAGAGATACCAAAAGACAGAGAAAGAGACAGAAAGATAGTGAGTGAGACAGAGACAAAATCAAGAGAAGGAAAGACTGAAATCATGAAAGAGACAGACAGCCAGAGATACAGAGGGAGATAGATATACAGAGACAGAGAAAGCGAGAGACAGATAAAAAGAAACAGACAGACACAGACAGTGAGTGATAGTAAAAGAGACAGAGATAATGATACAGAGACAGAGAGACAGGCAGAGATAGTGAGAGAGAGACATGCACAGAAATGTAGAGAGTGGGAGATACTGTTAGGGAGACAGGGACAGACAGTGCGAAAGGAAGAGAGAGGGACCATACATACAGAGACACAGAGTGAGAAACACACGCATACTGACAGACACAGAGAGATGAGAGAATCAGGCACGCAGACAGAGAAGCAGAGGAAGAGGGCTGCACAGAAAATTACACACAAGAGATGGAAATGTGGTGTAGAAACCCCACCTTATTGGCATTACTCAGGGTAACTTCCAAACATAGAGCTCTACGTTCAACCCACACACTCTATGAGTGTATTTCTGCTCAACCTTACAAAAGTGACGCTACTTCTGGGAAAGTGGTTAACCAGCTGTCAGGCACTGTGCGCAGTTCTGAGTTGATTCTATATAAACGTAAATCGAGAATTCACCAAATTCACCAGACAATCAACCCATAGGTAGAGACAGATAGAAGTATAACAAGAGAAACTGAAGAAAAAGAATCATAATTAACGTTTCAGGTCCGGAACTGGAGTGTCATGAGTGAGGGTCACTGGACCTGAGACGTTAATTTTTTCTTCACAGTTACTGCCAGACCTGCTGAGCTTTTCCAGCAACTTCTGTTTTTGTTCCTGATTTACAGCAGCCGCTGTGCTTTCGGTTTTTATGAGAAATTGAAAGACTGGGAGACATGCATTTGGGCGGAAGCAGAGATATGGATGCAAGCGATTGTAGAGATGAACTGAATCACACTTAGACGTAAAGACTGCATGGGGGAAGGGGGGGCGGTGTTGAAATATTACAAACAGGCAAGATCTCAGAACACAGTGAGAAATGTTCGCGAACCTAGGGGAGCTGGAGCCCATTTCAAACTCTCAAATCTGTTTTAGTGTTTAATGAAATGTTGTTTAGTCTGTAGCCCAGACCCTCTTATACAGCTTTGATCTTTATCTTGGGACACACTTATCAAATTATCATTTGACCTGTAGCTCACGGACCCTGCCCTGCCCCCACCCTCCACCTCCTCAGTGTTCAGTGTAGGAGGGAGTTCCTGATTTCTAGTGACCACTTTGCGAACAACTTTGTTTTTAAAAGTTTCTATCCTCGAAACATGGTCTGAACTCCAAAATACATGAACGTAAAATTAGATTTCATTAAAGTGGATGCTAATGCCAGACAGTATTTTCTGTTGCGTACCAACCCATCTCATTTTGCCTCAGCTGCTTCTCTTTCCATTCCCTTCTCCTGCATATGGTTCGATTCACACAACCATACTTGGGCTAAAAGAGTTCACTAAAATACCAAGGACAAAATTGGTTTTACGGTAGGAGGGTGGTGGAGGGTTGTTTTTCAGACTGGAGGCCTGTGACCAGCGGTGTTCCACAGGGAATGATCCACCTTTGTTTGTAATTTATATAAATGATTTGGATGAGAATATTGGAGGCATGGTTAGTAAGTTTGTGGATGACACCAAAACTGGTGGTATCGTGGGGAAGGTTATCTAAGATTACAAAGACATCGCAATTGATTGGGTCAATGGGCTGGGGAGTGGGAGATTAAGAAGGCATTTCGCACACTTGCCTTCATTGCCCAGACCTTTCAGTATAGGAGTATGGGACGTCATGTTGAGGTTACAAGGAGATTGGTGAGGCCTCTTCTTGAGTACTGTGTACAATTCTGGTCACCCTGTTACAGGAAGGACGTGATTAAACTGGAGAGGGTTCAGAATAGATTTTCCAGGAAGTTGTTGGGAACAGAGGGTTGAGTTATCAAAATAGACTGGATAGGCATTACTGGAGCATAGGAAGTTGAGGGGTGATCTTATAGAGGTTCATAAAATCATGAGGGGGTACAGATAAAGTGAATACCAAAGGCCTTCCCTAAAGTGGGTGAGTTCAAAACTAGGGGGCATATTTTTAAGTTGAGAGGAGAAAGATTCAAAATGGACATTAGGGGCAGAGAGTGGTTCGCATGTGGAATGAGGTGCCAGAGGAAATGTTGGATGCAGGTACAGTTACAATGTTTAAAAGATGTTTGGATAATTACATGAAAATAAAATAAATAGGAAAGTTTTGGAGGGATATGGGCTAAAAGCAGGCAGGTGGGAACATGGTTGACGTGGACTAGTTGGACCGAAGGGTCTATTTCTGTGCTGTCTCTATGACATGTTGCTTTAAGTAGGTGCCCTTGAATTCTGGGGAAAAAAAGTAAAAGGTGATCTCCTAATGGAGACAGTAAGAACTGCTGATGTTGGAGTCAGAGATAACACAATGATGACACCCGGAAAATGGAGGAGCAGCACCTCATATTCCCCCTCGGGAGCCTACAACCCAATGGTCTCAATGTGGATTTTACCAGTTTCAAAATCTCGCCACCCTCAGCCTCATCTCATGTCCAACCCTCCTTCTCGTCCCCGCCTCCTTGACCTGACACAACCTGTCCATCTTCTCTCCCACCTATCCACTCCTCCCACCTCACTGACCAATCCCCACCACTGCCTATCTGCACTCACCTATCACCATCCCACCTACCTTCCCCAGACCCACCCCTTCTCTCTCTATTTATTTCAGAGACCCCTTCCCCCTTTCTGAAGAAGGGTCCCCAACCGAAACTCAGTTTTTCTGCTCCTCTGATGCTGTCTGACCTGCTGTGTTCCTTCAACTCCACAGTGTTATCTCCAAATGGAGGTGTTTTTGATGATCAAAGCAATTGATAAGAGGAGATATAGAGAAAGGATTTCCTCTGATGAAATCAGTTGTATTTTTCAAAGAATCTGAAAATCTCTCAACTTGGCCCTGCCAAAAAGCAGTCGAATCTTGAAAGTGTTAAAACTAAGATGTGAGAATGGAGAGGAGGGAGGTCAGGGAGGGAGAGAGGGATGGTCCCAGGAACGAAGGCTTAACATATGAGGAACGTATGAGGTCGCTGGGTCTATACTGATTGGAGTTTAGAAGGACGAGAGGGGACCTAATG